CTCGAAACATTTGTCTTGCGCCGCTATAGAAGTTGCTTCTCCCGCGAACCATAGGTAGATTTCCCGCTTAACATAATGTTTGATAATTTATGCAAAAGTTGACCTCGTGAAAGTCAGCAGTGCATTAATTGACTCAAAAATAAACAGACTTCCTACAGGGTTTTGAACACGGTTTTAATTAAAGTACTTTACGAGCGCTGCGGTAGTTGACCGCAAAAGTGTTACGGTGATGGATACTCAACTGGATGATTACGTCACTTCATAGCAACCAGACGGTACTAATTTTTTAACTTCCGGAGCGCTGAGGCTCGTAGTATTTCGAGTGCTTCATCCATTGGACTTCTCCTTTTTGGTTTCGTAGTTGCAGACAAAGTATTACTGTATTGGCTAGCCACAACCTGCCCCACACGCGCTGAGTATCGTAGTATTTCGACTGCTTCATCCCTTGGACTTGGACTTGTTGGTTTCGTAGTTGCAGACAAAGTATTACTGTACTGGCTAACCACAATCTGCCCCACAGCGCATACTCGCACTAGATAGCTGGTAGCTGGTTGAAGTCCCGATATGGTAGCAGTTTTCTTAGCTTCCTTTCCACACGGTGTGTACTGAGTGATCCAGTCGGAGTTGGCTTCATTTCTTTTGCACTGAACTTTGTACGTTTCAATCTTGTTCTCGCTCCAGTGCGGATCATTCCACCAAAGCTCGATTGAATCGTCTCCCACGCTCTCTGCTTCTAGGTTTTCTGGCTTTGGTGATAACTTAAAATCATCATTTTCTAGTTCGCCCTCCTCGTACAGATAGATGAAGGCTCCAGGGTTTCCACTGAAATTGTCAGACAGACACTCCTTTGTGGCGAAAAACTTCACTTCTTTGTTGTCTTCATTTGCAGATTTCAGTTCTGAGAACTGTTTCAGTGTCTGGCGGATTCTTTTTCTTACATTCTTGTCATCAGTACTTGATGATGCCTTTTTCTTCAACTCTGGCAGAACTTTTCCTGTGAGGTACCCATCCATACTCAAAATCTGGGGATCGTCCTCCTTTCCAATCTTAAATGTACAACACACAACATGGTCATTGCTTAGATTGAACGCTTCATTTTTTACATCTTCAGGGTTAACGAAAGGAGTGTCTCCCAAGACATCGATCATAATTTGCAATCTCTTCATCTCATTCTCTTTTTCCTCGATCCATGCATCAATGCAAGTTTGTGCGAAGGGGGAACGCTCTTTTTCTTCAAAGATTTCGCCAAGTGCTGATTCTTCTGCTCCGCCTCCTCTGATGCTGGGAAGCAAAGGCAACAACTTTTTCTGGAAAGAGATCTTGTAGCTCGAGATATTGCTTTTGAAACTTGATAATTGCTTCTTGACTCGAGAGAACGACAAACAAACATTCTCTCTCAATAACTCGCTGCACTTAGACTCGATACACTGTATGTGCTCTTGAATCTCACACGTCTTGTTTATATAATTGGCACTGATTTCTCTAACCATTCGTTGCCCCTTGCTATCGATTTCACTGAGCGGGTGTAAATATACTTGGACAGCAACTGCGTTCTGACCCTTGTCCCCAATCAATGATGGTAGCTGTTTGTAGACTCTCACAGCTTCTTCGAAAGTAGTTGGACTTTCTTCTGTTCTGAAATCTCCATACATCTTGCAATGCATTTTCTCTGTTTTCTTCTTCTGGTCTCAGTTATGTCGACAGAGCCTCCTCCGTCTATAGAGATACCAGGCAAGGCGTTCACCAGTACTTTCATATTTCCATGCACCTCTTTCTCTGATTCATCTTTGGAAACTTCCTGGTCAAAGATCAAAAATCGAAACCGAGGTATGTCCTAAGGTTGGTGATGCAGTCACCGTTATAGAACTAGTTTGTGGAGACCTATGACGTGGAAAGGAGCAGGGTTTACATCCATGGTCAGCTGTTTCAACTCAGTTGTTGTCTCATACTGCAGAACAACGCGAGAATGGTGACTCGATGTCTTTCTGTCATCTAAGTATTTCGCTGCTCCTTGTACATTAACTAAGCCCCCAAGGAAACTCAATTTGAGGCCTGCTTCAATATTGAGAGCACTTGTTTTATCGTCAATTGTGTCTTCGGTAAGGACTTCTGAGTTGGTGTATGGTTTGGTTATCGTGCTAACGGCCTGACCCAGATGATCCGGAGACCACAATGTTTTCCCAAGAACCAGTTGGTCTGAACGGCGATCGTAAAGCATGCCAAGGTCAAAGGGACGACCCAGGGCCTGAATTATTTGGCTTTTCGAGGACATTCTTGGGACACTTCTTTATGCCAAAATCTCAATGGAAGTGTTTTATTTGGGAAATGCTATCTATGGAATGGAACACAGAAAAACATCATGAATCTAAGACGCCAAAGCAATGGTGTCGAGCAATCGAATATGACAAATCTTAAAACAATCAACATTCCTCAATTACCTTAAGCAGGTTACATGAAAAATGTTTACTTTTGTCCTTTGTGCTTTGAATGCAGGTCAAACTGGAATTTGGAAATGCGGGATTTTGAGGAGAGGGCAAAACCCGGAGTAAGCCAAGCCAACTGTAGGCAAGTCCTCACTAATCTGAAAGGTATTACTTGTGCACCGATCAATCAACTTTCCCCAGGGCACATCCCGGGCATTTAACCAATTTTCGTGCCCGAGTGGGGTGGGGCATGTGAGCTGCAAGTGTTTTTAATATGATTTTGTCGGCGCTAAAGTCGCCCAGTGCACCTGCGGCGCAAAGAGAAAGGACTGTAAATGTACTTAAGACGACTAGGGAGTGTCAGGAGCCCATAATCCGGAGCGTATAGTTTCCATAGTGGGTCTATGCAATGGCATTTTCACAGACTGTATTACTTTTAGATGAGTTTTACAAAACATGAGTGGCCATTCTCGATCCCAGGGGTAACAATTGCCCATGCAGCACTTGTGATTGGTCGAAAAGGTCTGGTTTCGCGGGAAAATTGATCTAAAAAAAGAACTCAGTCGGTGAAAACGCCGTTACACAACTTTATCAAAGTTTTATGCTCCTGGGTCATGGGCTCCTGAGAATGTTAATGTTGATGATTTCAACTTTTCTCTGCCTTATGTAGTAACTGCCAATACGACTTTCATACGCGGGTAGTTAGACTGAAAGAAGATTTTTGAATATTTTGCAAAGTTTGATTGGGGCATTTGCACATCACCTTTTGCTTGTCGAACAGAAGTTTGAACGATTGAATTTCCACGAGTTTAAATGTCTGGAGCATCAATTGGCCCATTGCAGTTTGCAGCAACAACTGTTCTTTGGAAACTTGTAATTGTAATCAAGTCCTTAAAGTATAGTCTGTCTCTAAAAGAAGGGTGGTAAAGGGTATTTTCGTGAGACATGAATTGTGAAAGCAAACGTGATTTAAGTTACTGCCTTGAACCGCCTTGAACTGATTTAGGTTACTGCCTTGAACCTTGAATGTTTGATTATAATAATTAGCATCTGTGGAACGAGAATCAGATGCTTAATTCACCGTCATATGAAGTGTAATTTTGCATGTAAGACATATGTCAGAAGAAACACCACAGAGGTAAATCTTTTCAACTGTCATTCGTAACCCAGACCTTCGACGAAGAGCCCCCGATAGGCCTGGGAAAGTGCTCTCGTTCCAACGCGGCGCCTTAGTAGGGTAGGAAGGTCCAAAACTGTAGCGGTATGTATTCAATGTTTCTAATATCAAGAAATTATATCAGGAGTTTAATCGAATGGTACTGTTTTGATGATTTTTTGAGACCAAGCCTAAAAGGATGATCACGATTATGAGTCCAGTCAAATTGTGGTTTAGCATCAAACTAATTGCAACAAAATTTTTTTCAACGCCATGTAACTGTTGGATGGCTTTGTAACAACATACTAAAAATCCGCCAAAATCGGTTCGGTGAAATATGAGAAAATTGGCAATAAAGATTTTCAACTTTCACCACAGGACACCCAATTTCAGGAAGATGACAAATTCAGATAAAACATTTGATATATTTTTTTTTTCTCAAGAATTTTCGATACAACATCGCTAACGTATTTTGGGTAGTTTTGGTTTCAAAACGCTGACTAAATGTGATAGAAACACCTGGGTCACTGTTTCGTCTTGACGGTTTTGCACAGGTTACCTAGCCACTCATTTGTCTTCACGTTCTGTTTTCCAAGCTGTATTTTTTCTTCTATGACGGTATTTAAAAGGGAAGTTATTAGTCAGTCTGTATTGACATGATTTTTGCGCAATATCAGAAATGCAGAAAGTATTTTTAGTTTTACAGGCTTTTATTTTTTTATATATCCTGCAGCATGGAATCAAATTCAGCAGCTCACTGACGGTGAACAGTTTGATTTGATATTTTGTTCACCTTCAGTCAGCTACTAAATTTTCATCCATGCTGCAGGATACGTGCAACTAAATGTGTGCAACGGACGATAGCTTTGTATCAGTATAAACTGTTTAACCTATTCTCATTTTCTGTAATCGAGTTTTGAGAGGTAGTTATGTTCAAACCTTGGACACAATAGGGCCGTTTATACGAGAGATAATAAGCCGCGGCTTATTTTAATCTGGCTGCGGCTTACATAAGACGCGAACACCCCGTATAAACGGTACAAAATCTATATTCTCGGCTTATTCAACCCACGGCTAGCTCAAGTCGCGGCTTATCCTGGCCAAGGAGTTTTGGGCTGGGCTTATCCAAGCCGCGGCTTAACTTAGACGTGAAAGTGTTCGTATAAATGCACTCATACGTTTTCCGCGGCTTGCTGAAACTGTGAACGATTGCTGCACATGCTCGCACATGCTCTGTTTTCAATTATATACCAGACCTTCATGGCCGAGAGACGCGCGCTGCATTGGCGGGAAAATGACCTGCTTCACGAGGGAGCCGGAAATTTCATCCATTTTCTCCACCTCATCCATCCCCGGAACATCTCTTTCAATCCACTCGACTGACTGATCGCTGACGAACTTTTCGACGAGGTTTCCGCACAAGTTTCTCAACAGCCTAGCTCTAAACTTGACCGAAATGTTAATTTGAAAAGAAAACGACAGTGTAAAATGTGGCGATTTTCTTGACCAAAGCCAGTCGTTTCGCTTTTTTGCTCGCTCGCTCGAACGCACCAAAACTACGTCATCATTGGACTAGTCTGGCCGTGGACTAAGCCGTGAACCATTTATACCAGCAGTTCGCGTCTTATGTAAGCCCCACTCGCATAAATGGTTCCTTTCGCCTCTTATGTAAGCCACGGTCAGAGTAAGCCGCGGCTTATTTTCTCTCGTATAAACGGCCCTAATATGTGTGATCGAAATCAGGGATTCTTTTTTTTTTCTCACGACATGCGCAACCTCGTTTAGGATTATGACTCCATACTTTACAATGTGAGTGAATAAAGATTCTGCTAAGGACTCTGTCTATTTGGTTTTTGCTAGATCATAACGCTCTGCGCTTTTCATTGCACCTGGCCGAATCTGTTCTAAGGAAATCTAGAAAACCAACGCAGTGTGGCTGTTCTTTTTTTATCTTCTTCTTGTAGCGAGGCTCAGATTTAGTTTAGTGTATATGTGTGTTTAATTTGTATTTTCCGCGGCAGCTCTTCATTTCTTGGTAAGATGAATAGGACTAATTGCTCTGTGGTCTAAAGGCATTTATATTCCCTCCTTGCACTTCTTTTGTGAGAACAACCCTGAACCTCGACCAGTTTATGTTTTTCGTCCATTGGTAAATGAAGACCTCTTTTTCTATAACAATTATGGGATCCTAAACATCTGAAAATAATTGCAGCGGTCAATGAAGGCGCGAAAGTACTGGACATATGTACGACATTAATGGGCTTGCCTGGCTTAGCTTCTGATGGCTCAGCTCTTTTTGCGGAACCTATGTTTCTCTTCGGATGAGCGTTGTGTAACACTTCAACTTACTGCAAGTTAACCTTCTGACTGAGTTGCGTGAATTGTGCTCTGCGTGGGGAATTTCCATTACCCCAGAGACTCTTACAAGTATAAAAATATGCGTAACAAAACCGATGGGTCTCAATTAGAAAGGGAATTTTTGGTCGAAGGGATAATATGATAAAGCAAAAGAACTTTGTTTGCAAACGATCTTGGTTTCAAGAATACGCTACAATGTTCCGTTAACCTTTGCGAAGGTAACAACACTTTTCCTTTAATGAAAAGGCATTTCCCTCTCATCAAATTCATAGGCATTGGAGCTTAACCTTTTCAAAAACTCTGCATTGTTGTTCGTCGTAAAGAATTAGTGAAACTATCCTCCCCTCTCTCGAATTCACTTTTAACAAGAAGAAAATGAAAAGCTTCGAAAAAGTGAAACTTGTATGTTTGAGGATGTTGGTACGTTAACAAAAATTAATGTATAGGTAACCGTAAAAGCCAAAGCATTATCTTGCTGGATTTTTGAAAACGTACCGAACGAAAATTGCAGTCTTTTCACCGAGAAAAAGACCAAAAGCCGAAGGGAAAATGAGCCCAAAAATCCTCCCAGAAAAGAACAAGGAAAGGAAAAATAGAAAGAAACGACAAGAAGAAAGATGAACAATGGCTGCACTCGTAGTTTTTACGTTGAATTCTTTGGAGATAGTTGTTGAAAGAAAAAAACTGTTCTAGGAGAGAGCTCTATTTTGGCTGTAACGTTATTCAA